GGCAGACTCTTAAAACCATTGCAAGGTGACAAATATCTCAAAAGTGCAAAACAGGAAGCACACACATTTTCTCTACAGTGTTACTCCCAGTGAAGACATTCAATAACCCATTTCCACAGCAGCTTATATTTCGGGGATTGCGTTCTTGTCTGCCAAGACCATCAACACTTTCAACCTAAATGGGGGATGTTTATAGGTAGGCTACTATTCCTAAAGGTGCATTCAGTGGGTTTTTTCCGCTTATTTATTACGTTTTTATAAAAGTAATCTGAATTGCATACAGGGGTAATGCATTTCTGTAAAAAGTGTTTTAATTATGTATTGCACGGCCTGTCTTGGGGGGGTATTTGAGCCGAAGAAACATCTGAATCACGTTGATAGATGGCAGTATGGAGCGTCTAACGTCCATTGTGGTACAGGTACAGGTAGTTAAAACACACCAACCAACAGCGATGCTAACGCCATGCCAAAAGACGACTGAAAGCACTTTTAATGTGCATATATTACCTCAAAAAATGTTTGGTCTATTGCATGCTGTTATTCAAAACACAGAAAGTTCTCCAAACCGCATCTCGACTATTATCAGATGCCACACACTTTTCACACTAGTTAAAAAAACTTTTCATACGAAACTTTTTCACTTTAACAGACTATTTAAACCTAAAAGTAGCCTCAGCCCACAGTTTCACAACTAGTGTAGTTGTGCACAGTTTCACAACTAGTGTAACTCGAACACCAGCAGAGCAAATTTTAGAGTGTACATATACCATTCTTGCACATGAAATGTGTCTCTTTTTTTACCTTTGCCTGTAATGGAATAGGTAGGGCCCCTGAATGTGTTTTCCATATGATTCCGTTTGCACGCTCCTACTATAAATAATTTATATTGGGTTTAAGTGGAATTAGTGCAGGTTTTCATCGTCAGCAGAGCCACTGATACTGTGAGCGTGGAAGCTTACTTGAATATCCCTGTGTTTATTGAAGGGTCAGATGAGCTACTTCTACAACGACAAAGGTGGGAATTCCAACACCTCTAAATTGGTGAATTTCTATTTGCATGGAATTCTACACATATTATGCATATGGTAATTATGTGTTCGAGACTGAAGTGAATGAAGAAATTATATTTTATTCTGCAATGAAGCCTATGGCTATATTTCGCATTGTGCCATTTTCACAGTTATTCTCATTATTATTTACATATTTCACCTGAATGATTAAATAGTTGAATGTGTAAATAGTTTACATACTATTTAATAATAATGTACAATATTATGTAATATATCAACATAAAATCACACATATAATATTCATGTCAACATAAAATTTTTAAATAGTACATTTTCCTCCCCAATTTATAATAATGAGAATTTTTATCAACAACAGAAAAGCTATTTTCCCAAAATAGGTTTATATTTCTTTATGCCTTTTTCTTTGCTTCTTTTGACTTTGGGGTTGAATGGGACATGATCTTGACAGGTTTCATAGGATTTAGTTTGCAAACAACAGGCTCCTATACAGTAACAAAATGTAAACTTTATTGCAGATTGACATCTCTATTTTTCAGATTAACAGAAGACAGAAAAGTTGAATGGCAGAGTCATATGATATATGTATATTGCTGATTGGCTTGTGGCACCTGATTTCTAAAAAAAAAACCCGTCAAAGATTGCTCTGCAGGGAACTTTTCAGAAAATAATTTTCATAGCGTAGCATTTTAATATAAAATACAAGCAAAACAAGGCTCCCAAAACACCATTCTATATAAGATCATCACAATTAGTCTCTTCTGTAAATGCTAAAGAGATTAAGACGTTAACAGTAAGACATTTTTTTTTTCTTTTGGATTTGATATCTTTGACCTGAGAAACCTGCAGATACAGTAAACATTCAAAATCACAGTGATGATTAAGAGGGCGTTCCCAGTAGGCCACACGTATCAGGTGATACTGATCAAGTTCTCCTCTCTGCACTGTAGATTCACATGGTGGTGATTGTGATTTAGTGTTTTAGCACAGGGACCAATGCTCCAAGGTTGGACCTTGTCAAGACACAAGAGATTCACAAGCTGAGTAGCAGCACATCTATCAAATTATTTTAAAAATTCATCTGGATTTTGCCATACTCACTTAAAGTGCCCCTATTATGCTTTTTTTCCGAATATTGCCATTCATACAGTGTGTAATATAGCTATTTGTGAATGTAAAAGGTCTCCAAAGTTTAAAAGATCACTACAAATATTTTGTTTCTAAAAGAAAGAATCGATTCGGAAGTGCCGAAAAAGTCTCACTTTCTGTTACAAATCCTATGGTTTTCATTGGCTGCCTGTGAACATCTACTTTGACCCTCAAAAACACTGTAGTTGTCGCTGAGGCCTGGAAATGCTGTTTTCTACTTGGCGAAAGCACATCCACTTTGCATCCACATCCAAAAGATGAGGACTCGTGCACAAATTATTACAGTAAAATCGACGCCATCGTTACTGTCCGAATCATTAGGTGTGTTTACATGGAGCATTGTATTCCGATTACAATCGATTTAAAAGTCCAATCCGAATGAAAATGCTCCTTGTAAGCACCTCAATTAAAATTAAAATGCACAAACTGATTGAAATTGGAATCGGTTTGCGAGGGGTGGGAAAAAAACTTTTTCTAATCCATTCTAGGACCTGCAAACACTTGATCTGATTGAAAACCGAAATCAGAGCAGAGTAGACCAATCACAACAAACTGGGACATCTGACCAATCAGAGCAGAGTAGACCAATCACAACAAACTGGGTCATCTGACCAATCAGAACAGAGTAGACCAATCATAACAGACTAGGTCATCTGACCAATCAGAGCAGAGTAGACCAATCACAACAGAATGGGCCATCTGACCAATCAGAACAGAGTAGACCAATCACAACAAACTGGGCCATCTGACCAATCAGAGCAGAGTAGACCAATCACAACAAACTGGGCCATCTGACCAATCAGAGCAGAGTAGACCAATCACAACAAACTGGGCCATCTGACCAATCAGAACAGAGTAGACCAATCACAACAAACTGGGCCATCTGACCAATCAGAGCAGAGTAGACCAATCACAACAAACTGGGCCATCTGACCAATCAGAGCAGAGTAGACCAATCACAACAAACTGGGCCATCTGACCAATCAGAGCAGAGTAGACCAATCACAACAAACTGGGCCATCTGACCAATCAGAGCAGAGTAGACCAATCACAACAAACTGGGCCATCTGACCAATCAGAGCAGAGTAGACCAATCACAACAAACTGGGCCATCTGACCAATCAGAGCAGAGTAGACCAATCACAACAAACTGGGCCATCTGACCAATCAGAACAGAGTAGACCAATCACAACAAACTGGGCCATCTGACCAATCAGAGCAGAGTAGACCAATCACAACAAACTGGGCCATCTGACCAATCAGAGCAGAGTAGACCAATCACAACAAACTGGGCCATCTGACCAATCAGAGCAGAGTAGACCAATCACAACAAACTGGGCCATCTGACCAATCAGAGCAGAGTAGACCAATCACAACAAACTGGGCCATCTGACCAATCAGAGCAGAGTAGACCAATCACAACAAACTGGGCCATCTGACCAATCAGAGCAGAGTAGACCAATCACAACAAACTGGGCCATCTGACCAATCAGAACAGAGTAGGCTCTCGGAAAGGAGGGGTTTAGACTGAATCCTTGATTGAGCCGTTTCAGACAATGTGAGAAAAGAGCTGATGCTGTAATGAGGAAATTAAAGTGTTTTTGACCTTGGATGCATGTAAACCGATTGTAGGAGACCTCCAAAAGAATTTAGGAACCTTTAATATTGCATAATAGGAGCACTTTAAACCACAATTCTACAGGACAAAAGTTGCCCTCAGGCTGTAAAATCATTTGTAATGGTGGAATTCAGCTTTCTAACAATTAGCAACTATATTTCATAAAACCAGGTATTTTAAACATGACCACAAAATGTACAAATGCCGCTACAATCAACGTTTTTTTCTAAAGTTAAGGCAGACGTCGTCAACGAATGATCAAGTTTAGTCTGAAGTGATATAAATACAAAACTCTACTTCTACCTTCAATAATGTCCTACAGTATGAATTAATTAATATCTAGAAATACCATATTGGTTAATCTGGTCAATTGTTAGAATCTAAACAAATAATTATTAAAATCAGCATAATATCAAAATAAAAAAACAACCATTATGAAGAAACAATTTGTCCTTTTGTGTTCTGCATTAAAACTAAGACTGTACAGCAATGAAAAAAATGTCTTTAACATCGGCTCATATTCTACTACTATTGATTGCTCTTCAATATTCGTGTATATGTAGTAAAAAAAAAGATTGTGCTATTCACGTTAAAAGCCCTTCATTTCAGTCTCCTCGATCAATAAGTGCTTCTCTCACAGTTCATGCTGAAAAATTTGCATAAAAAAAACACACGAGAACTTGAGGTACAGTTAAAACATTACAAACTACAGCAAGTATTCAGCAAAGTTCAAGTAAAAACCCAGCTGAGATGAGTGATGTTTAAGGTATTTTCATCTTCATCCATTTAGCGCATTGGTTTGTCCTTGTAGAGTCTTTCTCAATTTTCATTCGATTGTTTGGTCTTCGTAAAATTCCATTGATTGTTTTTAAGCAAAGGGTTTGATTTCTAGCTCCATATCATGATAACAATTTAACTTTAAGAGCCTATAAGATTTTTATAAATTTATCAAATGTAAACGGCGTTCTGAAGAAGTAAAAATCCCCCCCCAAAAAATCTCATGAAATAACAAAATGAGTAGTGAAGAAAAACGAGAGGGATCTAAAAATCATGAGAAAATACAAATCACTTTGATTTTTAAAGTGCAAATGTAAAATTATCTTCTACCTAATCTCAAGATTCCTTGAGACACAGATAATGGTCTTTATGGAAAGTGCAATTTGAGATCAGCACAAGTGAAAATTTCAAAAATAGAAAAAAAGTCGTAAGTAAGCCTCAGGATCTCCGTCGTACAAACACTGGCACGTCCCCAAGGCCGACCGGGTAACTTTCCAGAAACGTCCCTCCATCAAACACTTGAGCATTGTTAGTGTCCTGCCACTGAAAGGCACTCTCTGGCAGGTAAATGTCTCTTTGTAAAGCTCCTTTCTCTGTAACCGGAGCAACAAGAACCTAGGAAGAAAAGGAGAACAACTTCAAGTATACAATAACAACGAAGATCATCTACCGTTTGGTCTCTTTTTAAAGACGACACTTGGCAGATTATTTCTGAAGTGAAAAGTTTAAAAAGTGAACTTGGAAAAAGTTCACATTGCACAAAAATGTTCATTTTTAACCTTTATATGAAATATAAACACATTCCAAAACACATTTTACTAAAAAAATGTGGGAAAATCAAAGCCATACATCTAAACAAGCTATGTGCCAAATTTGAGGTTGATATCTCAAAAAAAAAAAAAAAGTTTTCAGTCCATTATGTTTAGGCGTAGTACCAAATGTTTCCACTAGATGAAATTCATCTCCCATTCATTTCCAATGCGCTTATTTTTGACTACGAACAATAGAAGGGTGACCATTTAATGTCCATGGTTTTCACCTTTTACCAAGTTTCTTTTCATTCCGATGAAGTAAAAAAAAAAAAAAAAACGTAAAATTTCAAGGTCAAAAATTTCAGAAGAGCACTAGAGGGTTTACTTTTAGTCATGATTTTTGCCTTTAAATTGAATCAATATTTCATCTTGTTTTAAGTTGTAGTCGACAATAATAACATTTTAGTGAATGAGACTGCAAAATGAAACCAAATATTCAGACATTATACAGTATTTTAATTTAAAGATTAAAATTTAACAAATGTAACATGGTAGGTCTTAAAATTGAGTGCACAATTTCATTGCAATATTGTGAATTCTTTAGTTATTCACTGTCCATGTTTTAGTGCAATATCGCAGAAAGAGCAAAAAAGGGGCTTTCACACCCCAGGGTGGTTCCCCGAGAACTAATGGTTCCCATAGGAACATTTTCCTGTTTGCATTCGCACCACCAGTAGGAACTCTGAAGTGACGCAAGTCGCGCTTGTTGTGACTTTTATTTTGACGGCGCTGAGAACGCCAGAGCACACATTGTTAGTATTCTCCGTGTTCATTAGTTTACGATCTGTCTAACAGTATTGTCAAATACGTTATTATATAGAACTGATATACATAGAAAGTAGGCAGTATATGAAAAGTTAATAGCGTATGCCGTGTGGTTGATGTCCAGTGTCGCTAGCTGAGCAGAAATACATAATCATGTTTGGCTTGTTTGGTCAACTAAATACATAGACAGTATAAGAAATGGACAGAGCGATCTCATTGGAACTCAGTTGAGACAGTTGAAGCCCATTTTTAGAGATTTTTGAGCACTTCCGTTCCTGACGCGCAGACTCAAACCGACTCAAACTAAGCTTGATGACGTGAGCAACCTGTCTGACAGACGTTAATCTTCTAGTAGCTGTGCGTGAAAATTGCCAACGTTAATCTTGCAGAGACGGGGAACTTGAGCAAAGAGTTCTTTGGCGTGAGTTAGCAGGAGTAAGTATTCCGTTGCTTTTATGGACTCATTATCTATGGGCTTCTCCCTTGACGGGACGTCCCCCCGATTGCCTGCGAGCTTCTCCTCCTGTCTGTACGGTAATTTCTGTACAGCGAGTACTGTACTCTCTGACAGAGAGTCGTGTGGTTATGACGCATTCGTTAGCCTATTTTTACAAAAACTGTTTCTACGGGGCCATAATGTAACATAGAAGGTAATGGAGCCCTTTATACATTGTCGTGTTTCTTTAGAAATAAATAATGGACAAATGGAGTCTTTAAACGCCTCAGATGTAAAGTTATTTGCTGTCAAAGTGACGCCAAAATGAATGGGAGTCAATGGAAATGCTAACGCAAGTGAAGTTCTGCTACAAGATGGCGGCACCCGGCCGGCTTCAACTTCCGGTCGATGGATTACCCCCTTGACTAAATACGGAAAACTTTTGATGCGTGATGGCCATTCATTTACACGACAACAGAGTTTAGTGGACCTGAAAATGCAAACTTTTTAAAATGAGATTCAAAGTGCAAGTTTTTGGAAACGAAACCGCTATCGTTTCTGTGTAACAGTGACATCACGCACATGCGTATTACATGTTCAGTCTATAAGCATGTAGTGTTTCTTAATAAAGTGACATCGCCACCTACTGGCCTGGCATGAATAATACGGCGTTATTATTTGTTTTTTTGGATCCGTGTGAACGGGGATCGTTTTGACAACGTTGTCGTCTGTACGGTAAAAATGCAAAGTCAAGTCAAGTCATCTTCATTTATATAGCGCTTTTAACAATGGAGATTGTTTCAAAGCAGCTTTACAGAGATAAACATACAATTTACGGTAACAGAGATTGCAAAGGAAAAACGTTTCCATTTTTAGTACATCGTTGTCGTGTAAATGTTCCCTTAACCTGCTAGCAAAGTGCTTCACGTTACCAGTGTTCATTCACTGTTCAGCTTCAGCTCACTCATCTCTTGTTGATATTTTTGTCTTATTCTCATCAACACGGTTTTATTTTTTAACAGTGTGAATCTAGTCTTCGTTATCTCAGCTTCTTTTAACTAACATCACGTCAGAAATGATGTTGACGATGAAATTAACACTGAAAACATATAATCTCCTTCTGATTTCAGGTTAGGTTTGGACTGTGTTGTTCCAAAACCAACAAATGATCCAGGAACATGTCCTACTTGGTAAAATCCCAGTCACTGTCTTTGAGCAAGGAGTTTAAACTCAGGTTACTCCTATGGGCTGATTGGAAGCAGCTTACCTCATCTCCAATGAGGAACTCATCATCAATGGTGAATGTGATTGGGTCATTTGGACTAAGCCACCACAGCGGTCTGTAGATGGGGTTTCCAGATTCTTGCCATTCTTCAGCGTATTTCAGGATCAAAGGAACGACAAAGTCGTGGTGCTTGGCTATGTAGAATCTGGTGAGGTTTAGGACCTAGACGGGAAGGTGAGACTGTCAGTGAATGCTTAATAAAACTTATATGAAAGAAGATGTGAGTTTTGTTCGACACTGTTCTCGTCTAGTTCTGCTGTGGTTCGTTTCTAACATTCCTTGAGAGGTCACATCCTTCAGTTAACATCCTAGCCAGCCTCTGGTGACGGAAACAAAGCAAAACCACGTTCATAAAAAATGTATTCTCTAGTTGAAAAAAGTTTCATGAGATGAATTTTGAATAACTGCCTGAGTTTCGGTCTAATTTTATATGGGGAAAACAGGCCTGTGGCTTCCATTCCCGTTTTCCTCCTATTTAGACCCAACATAGTCATTGAGTCTCTAATGGGTGTTGGTGTTGGGTAATCGCACAAAAGCTAGTACACACACACACACACACACTGCCTGCAGAGGCCAATCAAACAGAATGGAAAATAAAGGCAAGTAAAACCTTTCAGTATGATCAGCACATTTAACATCGATACTAATTAATTATGATTTAAAGAGGTTAAGACTGTCCAGATAATACCCATGAGCCAAGATCAAAACCATTGCATGTTCCAATACTATTTTCTCACTGAAATAGATGTCATAAAGTTCTCAAAGGGATTTTTCACCCTAAAATTGTGATAATTTATTCTTCCAATGCCTTCCAAATCCTTTTATTCTCAGACACAAAATGAGAAAATTTGAAGTAGTTGTAAGACGAATACTTTAGAATGTGTTATTTTTCATAGGGTTAGTTCACCCAAAAATGAAAATTAAGTCATCATTTATACACCCTGGTATTGTTCCAATGTCGTATATGCCATTGTTTTTGTTTTTTGGACCACAAAAAATGTCCTGCATCCATATAATGGCAGTGAATAGCGACCAGCATCAACCTTTAAAAAACGATGCTAAAGCATCACAGAATGACCCCATGTGACACATACCTTCCAACACTTGGACTATACGACACGTGTCGCATGAGATCATTCTGTGATACTTTTTTTTTTAAAGCTTGATGCCGATTGCTATTCACTGCAATTATATGGACAAGCGCGAGCAGGACATTTAAAAAATATATATATCCTTTTGTGGTCTGAAACATATGAAAAAAGGGCATACTGCATTGGAACAACACCAGGGTGAGTAAATTATAACTTCATTTTCATTTCTGGGTGAACTATCCCTTTAAGCTTGAAACTTCAGTGCCTGGTCATTGTAATGGCAGTGATTAACTTTCCGAATTTTCATTTTTAAAGTCAGCTGTCCCTCTACTTTCTGCTAAATATAAACACATGTGTCCATTCATAGCAATGAAATGCATTGAAAGATCTACTTCTACCAGTGATTAGAAAAAAACACCCCCTATTCTGGACTGCAAAGTCAAATCACAAACGAAACCTGTAATTGTCTCTGGAAATTTTCTTTTCCACTTATCCAGCGATTCATTATTCCTGGTGCAGCGGTTCTCAATACAGTTAAGATTGAGAGAGTCATAAATTTGAAAGAGACACTAATGCAGACCATATGGACCCTTAACCACAGGTGATGTTGGGGAAAGGCCAAGCAATTACACCATGAAATGCAAGAAAAACGGCCACCTGGAGGATCCTCTGTGCCGGTCCTAAACTCAAACCCTGCTCTATGGGCTCAAATATATCCGTGCTTGAGACTAGATATTCTGGTATGTATTTAGCTAGTGTTTGGAGAAGGGCATTCTCATGATACACCATGGAGTGAATGAGTATTAGATTCCTAATGTTATGTTAAGAGTGAAAAAGAAATCTCTCAGTCTGAGGCGTTTAACTCTCAATGGTCAACATATTGCGCCCAGTTTTCCTACCAGGGAACTCAGTCTTTATTACACTTAGCTCCATGTTATCCCTTTTTCTTTCCTGACCACAACGGGGGGAAAAAAACTAAACTGAAATCTAAACCCGGATAGGGCCGAGGACCCGTCCTTGCTGCACTCACCCATTCCTTCTCAAAGACCCACGGAGGTGTCTGGAAGCTGATGACAGGAAGAAAGGCTGCGATTCCCAGCCAGCGAACGAAGAGCTCGTCGTCTGCAACCAGTTCGGCAGAGAAAGAGCCTCCTGCCATTGAGGAATGCAAATGCATTCACATGTAAAAAAAGAAATATATAATCATATGGGATTATTCAAAACTGTGATATATGATATAATATAAAGTACTGTCTATGTCTATATTGAAGTACAGTCTATATCTATATTGAAAAGAAGAAAAAAAGATTTTTTAGGATAATCACGATTTTTATTATTATTATTTTCATGAGAAAGTGTGCTTAATTGTCATTGCTGCTTTTCCCAATATTCTTAGTTGTGATTCTGACAACGGTAATGCATTTCTTGAAAATCTAAATCAGTATATTTAACATCTAACATATTATACTGTTTATTATTACAGTAATTTGTGAGTGAAATGTGCCTAATTGTCAAAGTAAAACAGTCATAACTGTCATAAAAAGGGGCTTGATTTTCTTAATGCAAAATATAATACTTTTTTAGTGCTGCCTAACGATTAATCGCGATTAATCGCATCCAAAATAAAAGTTTGTGTTTACATAATATATATGTGTGTGTACTGTGTATAATTATTTAGTATATATAAATACACACACATGCATGTATATATTTAAGAAATCTTTTTTATTTATATATAAAATGTTATATTATGTAGACACAAACTTTTGTTTTGGATGCGATTAATCACGATTAATCGTTGCCCAGAGAAAAAACGTTCCCTTGATTTGTGGTTGAAATGTGACCTGGTCATGTTCTTAAAAGATTTACTCGCACCATACTGTGTATTATACAATTGTTAGTGGTGAAGATACTACTTTGATTTTGTAAAGGATTCAAGAAGACAGTTTATTAAATGATATTGCCTTTATCTATGGTATGCATCATCACAAAAGATAAATGTGTGTAAATGCGTATTCATGTGTGTGTGGGCAGGTATTACCTACTGCATCAGGAATGAAGAAATGATATCCCAGAAGACTGTGATGCAGCAGGGATGGAATGATGCCCTTGAGGCCGGAGTAACTCCAGTCTGACTGTAGTGCACTCATGCGGATGAACAGCGGTTTGTGGCTGGACCTGTGCAAACAAAAATTGGCCAGTTACAAAACAATTCGACACATTATCCAATATTTTTTCAAATGGGAAAGTTGTTTTTCAAATGGGTGAGTGTCCACATGTGATCTTTTGCATATTTTAGATCTGATTGTTCAAACCATAATCGATATAAGTTACATCTTGCAATGGTAAATGACACCGGAGTCGGAAAAATGCAAAGATGTTTTCTTCTACAACAAATGTGAGTAGCTGTTAATGTGGACATGGGAATGAAAAACATGGAAATTGTGCCTGTAGTTACGCATGGTATATCGACAGTGCTGATAACATGAAAAATCATAAATAAAATCCATTTTAATCAGATTTCAAATCACACATACGCATGTGGTTTGGATCAGGTTTGGATTTGGTTTAGACAGTACAACTACAGATTTCAGTCGGACACGCTAAGAATATATTTTGCATTTTGGTTCCCTGTCTGAACAAAGTCTCAAATTGTGGTAGGTTGCCATTGATGGTCATGATTTTGCCAAATTTTTGGATTAACATTTCCGGTTGATCCTTGAACAACATTCCGGTGAAACAAACCTAATCATACCACCTGTAAATCCCAACCCCAGCCCTAAATCTAACCTAAAATCAGTTTTTAGGACCAACAAGGGTGTTGCTCCATGACCTACTTGGCAAATTCAGTGATTGATCGGGATTATTTAAATTACAATTACACCAAATACCTTGTTCCCGAGGTCACAATGGTGTTGTCCCCGATCTTCTCTGCCAGGTCAGCAAGGAGTGTGATGTATTCGTCCCCGACCGATGCAAGAGGGGGGCGCAGGGCCTGCTCCTCGAAAAGGTTTCCCTCACCGCCTTCCAGGATGACATACTCCATGCCCAAATGACTGTGTAAGCTGTCCACTTTGTCCAGAAACCAATTCGTGGCTTTTGGGTTGGTGATGTTGAGCTTCACACTGTACTTTCCTTTCCACTGAGTCAACATAGGCACCTTATGAACGAGAAATAATAATGAACAGGTAAACATACAGTACTGTAGGTAAATAACAAATAAGAAACTAGTTTAAAACATGCTGAGTTCTTTAAATAAAAGAAGTTATTTTGAGGTCATATCGTTCTGAAAAACGTTTATACCTTTTTTCAAGAAAAGTTTAGATTAAATGACTCTTAAATGTCATGTAACCATCAAGTAAAATAGTTTTTCCCCCCTTTTACCTTGAGTACATGTAAGTGTACACATCTTAATCTTTATAAAGGTTTTAAATGTATTATTTAAGGTAGAAATATTTTTACTACTACCATGAATTCAAATCATAATTTTTTTGTTTGAGTTGCGCCACATGACATTTTATTACCTAAACTTCTCATACTGCCAAACTACTTAAGAGAATTAAATAGAATTTCAAAAATAATTTAATTCTTTTAATGAGGCTATTTTTATATTATATCAGGACAGTCGCACCACCCTCACATTTTTTTTATACTTTCTCCCCCCAAAAATATTTTAAATAGTATTTGTTTGTCTGAATTAAAAAATGTATGTATTTTTGATTAAATGTAGATCCTGAAAAAAAAGGCATCACACATGGTTATTAACGTTAACTAAAACTAAAACTACTTGAAATTAAACATTGACTGAAATAAAATCACTTATTAATAACTTATTTTGAATGTTATTTGAGCTAGTTGCCGAGGCACCATTTCTCATTTTGGTTTAAGTTGAAATACTAAAATAATCAAAGTCAATATGAAATAAGGATTCATCTATATTTAATTTATAATTAAGACTGTAAAGTGTTTGATAACTTCATTCAATTTCTGTATATTTACTTTGATAAGAACATGTGGTAAATATTACATTTATTAAGGGTTGATATGAAGATCGTTTTAAAATCACTTAAATTAAAAGTTGTTATTTTTTTTAAAGTCTAATAAATGTCGAAGTTGATAACTTTCAATTATACTGTAATGTTGAATGTCTATCATTAATGTTTAAAAAAAAAAAATTCATAGAGACATCAGACCAATATTAGTATCAGTGATACCGGCCTTCATTCATAAAAAGTTGCCATTACAACAAATATTTTAAATATACTGTCTTTAAGTTGTTTCTACATTAATTCAGAGAGTAACTGTAAAATTATTACAATTTAAAAATAATAAAAACTCTGATGTATTAATAGCGATTAAGCGTGATTAATTACAGAAAAAATGTGTGATTACTTATTACATTTTTTAATCGATTGACAGCACTAATATATATATATATATATATATATATATATATATATATATGACAATTATTTTCTTAAACCAACACAACAAAATTACTAAAACCTCGATAACACTTTTTAAGGTGATGCACTGCATAGGCCTACTTACTACAGTAATTACAGTAATAACTCTATAGTAAGTAGGCCTACATAGCTGGTTAATATTACTCAGTACTCATTTGAGTATGTTAACTATGTCACCTTAAAACAGTGTCCCCAAAACTTTAACTAAAATTGAAGTGAAAATACTAAAATAACTGGCTTCATGTCATCCACCCATATACCCCAGTGCATAAACAGTGTTACCAGTCGTCCCTGTGGTCCTGAGGGCAGGCTCAGCCAGAAGTCTTCAATGCCCGCCTGAACGGAGGTCTGAAACGGCTGCGAGTCCACACTCAGGTACGGGGACAGGGTGATGGAAATGTTTAGAAGCTTTACAAAAGGGAGGTCCCTGGTCTGTCTCTTAGACGTCCTTTTCTTTCCATTGAGGTAGCTGTGGTCCTACAAAGACGAGAAATAATTAGCAAAGACGTTTTCTTTGTCTGGCCAATGGCACCTGCTAAAAACAGTGGTGCAGAAATGACACACTGAACCTTACAAATCAAGCTTGATACGGGTGTAAACAGGGCCTATAATACTGTGGCATTTGGCTAACATGACAATTTCCACTATTGATTTAAAATGAGTTAAAATCAGGGTTTCCCTAACACACACTTTGCCGGTAAGTAGCAGTTTTCTTTTGCAGGTTTACAGATGTTGGCAGCAACTCGTCTCGGGATTCAAACTTTGTTGATTGTTTTAACAGTACGGAAAATATCATTGTTTCACCATCACTGAAAATAATACCCCTATTAATGTTTTTACCATGACAGTGCCACGATGTCTGAGAAAATATAACAATAATGTCATTTATATGAATCATATCGTACAGGCATACCAAATGCGCTTATGAGGAATCTGTGCAATAAATAGCGAATACTGGCAAGTGGGTTTATAACCAAATTCATTCCAAGTCAAGCTGTTGGTTTTGCTTACGACTGTGTTATTTCAAGCTAAAATGGAAACTAGGGGAAAAAAACAAGCATTGGGAATGTTTCCCGATTGGAGTTTTGTATAACTGTCACACAATGGAAAGTTTTCCACTGCAATTTAGCGGTAAGACATTTAGGTTGGGATACGGGAACGCGTGGTACGTGTGTATCAGATACACATGCAATTATGCTTCGCTGACATATTTGTTATAAAGTCCCTAGTTTTTGTCAGTCGAGCTCATAATCAAAACAATTTAATCGTATGCATTACAAAACAAATTTCACAGAGAAATCAAGCCTATACCACATCTGAAATATGTTCTTTTCAAAACATAGTTATATTAAAACTATATTCAAAGGTGGCATGGATGGAAAGATTTAACCATGAAAATGGGGTATGAAAAAATGTATATGAAAGTAAGAAATTAAGTCATGAGTTATTGTGAAAGGAGGGCTGCACTCTGCTTTGCATTGACGTTAATGTTCTGATAAGCCTTTTAAGTATTTTAGACATAGAGAACATTCTTTTCTTGGCAAAAAGTTCCCATTTTTCCTCTTTCACCTGCCTCTAATCTTTCTAGAGGAATTCAGCTGTGAAACGATCCACTCAGTTTTGAGATCAGTCAGGCATGCAGAACAATGTCTTGACTACTCAAAAATGTGTATAAACAATAAATAAAGACAGACCTAAAATGGAAATTCTTCAGCATTTTTCTGGCCAATACAGATGTTAGTATTTTTGTGTTCTTGTATATTATGGACCTAAACCAATATAGAGGGATATATTATAAAAACTAAACTGTTTTTCCTGTTTTTTTATTTTTTAGGTTTTTTTTATTGTACAGGCTCCGCATATTATACAATATTATACATGTATATTATTAAAATTTAGTAACTTCAAACCACTAATATAAAAAGCTGAATGTATTAATCTCATCACCTATAATATTCATGTTTTTAATTTCTGAATTTAAATTCATTTTGAAATATTTCGGGGGCATGAAGTCAGAAATGTCTGGGTGATAACTGTCGTATGAACCATATTTATTTATTTATATAATTTATATCAAGTCATGTGGTGCAACTACCCAGACAACAACATGGTGTCAGCCCAGATCCGGATCTCAGCCGACACTATGTCGATGTCTGGGTAACATGCACAAAAAAATTTATAATAAAATAAAACTGGAAATGATATCATAGAGGACCCTCATGTGACAAGGTCAATAAGTCTCTTAAAACTGACCTTTTATGGCAAGGAAGTGTAAGTTCAGGTTGTTAAATGCCATAAGGCGCGACACTCCAAAAACATTATGATATTTATGAATAAATAATAATAAAAAAAACGTATACATTGAAAACAAATATTTCAAAAACATAAGGTAAAGATGTATTCAGGGTGTAAGAAAAATGATTGCTTTTTATTTAATGGCTGCACCACATTACATTTTTAGAGTCATGTTGAAAAGGGTATAAAAGTTTTCCGAGACCAACATCAATACAAACACTCTCATTTGTCACTGGCCCAACTACATAGTGATATTTACCCTTAGCATGATGTTAAAAAGTGTTGTTGGAGTCGTGGCTTAGTGGTTACAGCGAATGCTCCAGAGATGTTAAGCTGTGGTGCTCATGTGGGAAATTCAGGTTCAAGTCTCACCCGCTTTTTACAGTCTGTGTTGTGATAAAATATATGACTTGAATGCATTTTAACATTTTAGCCTCTGCCAAATACGCAAAAGTAGCAAGACGCCGTATTACTATACACAAATCTACAGCTAACATGACACAGATGGCCCACACTATCAGTCTCCATAGCAAAACAAGTATCACCTAATTGGAAACCAGTTCCCCGCTGGCATTGGACTGAAGCAGAGATGTGTGTCTTTCTCTCAGGGGATCAGATCACACTTCCCTGACCTCTCGAGCGACTGCAGATCCGCTTAGAAAAATCAAGCCTTTCATGTCCACAACACTGACCAACTCTGACTGTTTTGTTCTGTCAGACTGAACTTAACAGCCCAGCTGGTGGCTTTTAACGTGAGACGCTTCGACTTGAACACAGTGTTCCCGCGTCCCTTGGTAACTCTGCCTGGTATGCACATCGCTATGAAAACCAAACGTGTTCTGCCAGACCCATAGCCTGTGTTTGTGATTATAATGAGTACCTTCAGAAACCTCACGATCGACCGCACGAGAAGCAATGGCGAAGTGTGTAATTTACGCACCACTAGCGGTCACTAGTTTGTTCACTCAGTCATGCAGGTTTGGTATGACATGTGGGTTAGTAAACTATGGCATTTCTTTTTTCGAACTGTTTTTTGATCAAAATAATGTTTTTTAATTCGGTTTAAGCCTAGTAAAAATTCAATCTGCTAAAAACAAAGACCCTAGATCTGTTTTTATTACAAGATGTTTAAAATGCACAGTGCTATATGCACAGATTTTCATATGTTTTATGTAATGGTTGTGCACATTAGCTGTCACTATTTGGCGAATTGTAAAATTGAACAATGACTGCATTTACATGCACCCTCGTAATGCGATTCTGATGAGATTTAGGCAAAATTGCGATTAAACTTTCCCTCATGTAAGCACAATAATCTGATCAAATTGATGCGATTAAGCTCTTAATCGTTGCGACCATAATCATAATAAAATATTTGGCATGTACAGATTTGAATCGCAATAAACAAACACGCATTGTAAACACTTTAATCTCATCTATTCCACTCTGCTCAAACTGTACAGTAACACAGCGGTAAAGAAGGCATCACGTTTCTGAAGAAACTAAGTTCATGTTGACAACTTTCCACGATTTGAACATAATGCAGTATATTGACTAAATAAAGAGATTTAGGTGAAAAAAATCCAATATGGCCAAAAAATAACCCCAATTCTTAGCGATTACACAGAATAATGAAAAATTGAAGAGGTTTGGTCGTGTCATAAACATCTTAAGTGCTTACTCTGATTATTGGAAATAATCACATTATTAGTGCACAAGGTAGTCAATTATTTGAGCCTTTTATTCATATTAAAATCACACAGATATTAAATTTATGTAATGTATTTACACCTTCATGTCATTTCAGACATTATTTTTTCCATAGACCACAAAACAAGATATTTTAAAGACTCTTCATTAAGTCCTTTTCAAGTATAATCAGTATGTAGGCCCTAAGTGATGATCCACGGCTAGCTGTGCATTAAACAATTTTTAACGCACAACGTGGAGGCAAATGTGTGCGTGCTTTAATAAAAACAGCCATACAGGGGTGCGTTTCCCGAAAGCATCGTTAGCCAAATATGGTCGCAATTTGGTCGCAATTCCCATTGAACTCTATTGGTAACGACGGAACTTGCGAACATGGTTGGCTAACGATGCTTTCGGGAAACGCAACCCAGAACGGTGATTAAACTGACTTGTAACTACCACCTTCCTCCAGCCAATCAGAATCGAGTATTCAGACAGACCATATAAATACTTCACTGTTTTTATTCCCTATCGTTTTATTTGATATGATTCATCTCGGGTTTCCTCATACATTATACTTCGGGCTTCCTCTACGCATTTATGCACATGCGCACTACTCAAAAATGGTGCTAATATATATTGTTGACATGCTAATATATGTAAGCAATAAGGTACGAGAGGCTGTGCTGTATCGTGAATAAGTAACGGCTGGAGGGCGTTGTTAGGCACGACGCGAAGCGGAGTGCCTGCAACCCCTTCAGCCGTTACTTATTCACGATACAGCACTTGCCTCGAGTACCTTATTGCTTTTATAAAACGGTTGCCACACAATAAAAATATTAAAGCCGAAAAATATGTATCTATGCAACTTTCATGAAGTAAATAAATCACTAAAAGCCTTCCTTCCGCTGAAAAAAATAGTCCTGGACCGTAAACAGCAACAGAAGTTACATATATTATTTCGCCAATAGATGGCGTCAAAGACTGTCTTTATGAGTGAGTGAGTCAGTAGAGAAGGCTTTTGAAAGGACTCGAACTTGTGATCACGGAGAAGGAAGACGCAACTGACAGATGACTAACGTTAACTGTTAACGTTATGCACGGGAAAACCCCATGACTGTTAAAAGGACAAAATATCGCAGCGGACATTGAAACGCATTTTTTTATTATGAATATAGGACTGACCTGAAGGAAAATGCTATGTAAATGCAGGTACACTCGCTTAACGTTACTCGATCTCTCACAATGCTCTACTCTAGCTTTAAATGAACAATATCAATGAGATCAAACATCTGTTTAAGTTGCTAAGAGTGGTTGCTAGGGGTGTTGTGTAGTGATACATAGAACCGTTGGGTGAAGCGGTCATAGCCGTGTTTTATCGTGAATAAAGCACAGCTATTGACCAATCAGAATCAAGGATTGGAACTGACCGTTTTATAAATATATATATTAGCATGCATTTTTCAGTTTTCGTACGCAGCCGATGATGCCACAACATTGCGCAGCTTCTGGTTGTGAAACCGCTGAGATTTCAATTCCCAAAGAAAAGGGATAACCTTTCACAGGTGAGAGTGTGTTGGTTTGTGTTTTTATAAGTATCAACTCAATATTACATGTTTTTACTATGGTAGCTTTTTAATGTTGTGTTGGCCGACACCTTCGTCTTGTTGTATTGTGTTAGTTTAGCAAAAACATCAGCTGAAGTCTATTGCAATCACTTTCAATCACTTTGCTCTCGAGTGTTGACGGACCAGCTTTGACTGTTCCAATATGGCGGACGGCTTACGTGTAGCTGCCCATTGAAATTGCCGATAATGAGGAATCTATGACATATATATTATATGTTGTTAACGACAGAACTTGCAGCCATAGTTGGCTAATTATGCTTTTGGGAAACACACCCCAGATCAGTAATCATTAGTGTCAGTGTTATTTTAGTATCATTGAATAGTTTTTGATAATATTTTGAATTAGATTTTAGTTTTCACTTTAATTTTAGTTAAGGTTTTAGTCATTTTGTTGTGTTTTTTTTGTTGTCATTTTTATTAGTTTTTGTATATTTGTATTCATTAGTATTATATATATGTCTATTTTCTAGTAGAACTTATAGAACGTTAGTAGAACGTTTTTTTTTTTTTTAGATTTTATTTGATTTGATTTCAGTTTAAAACGTTTATTTTATTTAGAGTGACGAATGCTTTTTTTTATGCATTCATTTTAGTTACCGATAGCTGTTACCGATTATTCATTTCTACTCAACCATATACAAATATAGACGTAAAATATAAAATGAACGCATAAATGATCATTTTCAACATGTACACTTGTTTGAAAGGTAGGAAATGCAGTGCTGTTGGCTCTCTGGAGGGTGTTCGGGAGGAAAGGCCTGTAGACCCGCAGCTATAACAGGTGCAGAGCCTGAGCCGCTGACGGCTGGAGATTAAACTGCACACACTGAAGGTCAGAGACGGGGAATCTGCTGCAGATATACACACACTCACCAGGGACAATCTGGGTTATTACTGGCTTTCATTGTTTGTTGTGGTTGTCTTTTTTTAATTATTATTTATAAGACAACGAAACAAGCCATACATAATTATTATTATTTTCAGGCTAATTAGATTGATATCAATCTTTTCAAATATATACCATATAGTTCAAAAGTAATATTTTAATGAAATATAAAGACATTCATCATGCTACAAAATATTTATATTTCAAATAATCGCTGTTCTTTTGAACTCTATATTCATAAAAGGATCCTGAAAAAAAGTAGCACGTATTCCACGAACACATTAAGCAGCACAACTGTTTTCAACATTGATAATAATACGAAACGTTTTCTGAGCTCCTCACAAATCAACCATTTCCTGTTTTTCATTGGCATAGAGGACTAGTGCATCTTTAAGCCAACATTCAGTACGAATAAAATACTGTTCAAATCTGATACTGACATTACTCAAGTCTTATTGGAATCGGTGACTTTTGGTCATTTTTGCTGTAATCTGTACTTTTACTCAAGTATGCTTGTCGGGTACTCTTTACACCTCTGCTCTGATAGCTAGTTTAAATACAGAAGAGTCAAACTTGAATGCACAGCAGGGCTGGAGGCAGAGGGTGGTTTGGTGCTGGGACCCGGAGCGTCGCTCACCATGTTGGCGAGGAGGGCGGTGGAATGTTCGTCGAGGCCGATGACTCCCTCCAGGTGAAGCCGCTTCAGCCGGTTTGAGAAGGTTCTCAGCTCTCTCTCTAGCTTGGCCCCAGAGTCCACGTTTGCCAGAAGCTTCCAGAAGGGCAGCCTTAAGATAAATATTGCATTTGTTAGGCTAGAGGTGTTAGATTAAAGGTTATACATCATAGTACACCACACCAGTGTAACTATCGCTAACTAAAACTAAGGGTACGCTTACATAACAACAATGTGCTAAAAAACGGAAACGTTTTTCTTTTTTGCGTACAGACAACGTGGTCAAAACCATCCCCGTTCACACGGATCTGCGAAAAGACTAAAACGCTGTATTATTTATGCCAGGCCAGTAGGTGGCGATGTCACTTTGTAAAACTACACGCCTATAGACTATACACTTAACGCTGACGTCACCGTTTTCACAAATGCGCGTTTTTGTAGTTTACACCAAGACGATAATGGTATCGTTTTCAAAAATGCGCGTTATTCAGGCAACCAAAACGCTGTTGTTGTGAAAATGAACGGCCAAAATGCATACAAAGTTTTAAGTTAAAGTGACTAAAAGTTACGGAGCCCTGCACATGACATGCAGGAAAAAAATTGTTGGCTAAATCGTGCGCACGTTTTACTAAATTGTTCCCTCGATTTATAAATCGTGCGCACAATAGGGATTCAAATCAAGGGAACGAAATAGAAAATTGTGCGCACGATTTTGCCTACTATTTTTTCCCTGCATGTCATGTGGGGGCTCCGTAAAAAGTAAACAAACTAAAGACATTTCAAATAAAAACTAATAAAAAATGCACAAAAACATCAAAATGACTAAAACTTTCAAATAAAAGTTGAAACAAAATATAAAAAAATTAAATATAATTCAAAATATTAACCAAAAAATATCATAGTACATCAATTATACTAAAATAAAACGGCACCACACCATAGTAAGAAAAAAAAAAACCTTTAACACAGTATAATCAGCATTGATTTACATTCATCCACAATAGAAAGTGAATCAGAAATCAAAACATTACGATGTTACAGCATTTTTTGAAAAGTGTCTGCTTCTAGTATTGGACAGATACTGCTAATAATAAAGAAAACGCTATTGTTCATCCCTAGAAATTCAAAGTAAACAATAAAAGAGGTAGAAAGAGAGTTTTTAATTGTGTAGTACCGTAAGACGTCCATGTTTGGCAGCTCTCGTCTGGCTGTGGAGAGCCGGCTCATTGACTCCTCATGGACGGCCTTAATGTTGTGTCCGACACACACGGTGTACTCCAGAGGCATGCGCTTCATACTGGGGGGCGTCTGCAAACAGTAGTGCTGTCTGCTTTCCATTCCTACATGTAGTGGGATGTTTGGGGCCACGAGAACTGACACACCTTTAAAGGAAACACCACAACACCACTGGATTAAATGGTCAGCTTTGCAAATTTGAAATCCCCAATCAATCAAAATTAGGAGTTTTGTTGCTTTTAGTCCACGTCTGTTATGCCAAGTGTACTCCTAAAAGTTGACCAAATGATTTTTAGCAGATACACACACATACAAATATTGATGACATCATCGCGCACTCAGGGGCGTCTACATATTTTTGTCCAATCAAATACTGAGGTCTCTTCTGCTGAGCAGCATTGATTTGATCAAAACACAGTAAAAACAGTCATATTGTGAAATATTAGTACAAATTAAAAGAACAATTTTTTGTTTGAATATATTATGAAATGTGATCAAAATGAATGTGATTTCAAAGCTGAATTTCAGCATCATTACTCCAGGCTTCGGTGTCACATGATCCTTCAGAAATCATTCTGATATGATGATTTGTCATCAATGTTGGAAACAGTTGTGCTGCTTAATATTTTTTTAATAACCTGTAATACTTTTTTCAGGATTCTTTGATGAATAAAAAGTAAAAAAAAGAGCAGCATTTATTTAAAATAGAAATCTTTTCTAATAATACACACTACCGTTCAATAGTTTGGGGTCAGTCGTTTTTCTTTCTTTCTTTTTTTGAAAGAAATTAATACTTTTATTTAGCAAGGATGGTTAAATTGCTAAAGTGATAGTAAAGATTTATATTGTTAGGAAAAATTTCTATTTTGAATAAATACCGTTCTTTTTAACTTTTTATTCGACAAAAAATCCTGAAAAAATTATCACAGGTTAAAAAAAATATTAAGCAGCGCAACTGTTTCCAATATTGATAATAATCAGAAATGTTTCTTGAGCAGCAAATCATCATATTAAAATGATTTCTGAAGGATCATGTGACACTGAAGACTGGAGTAATGATGCTGAAAATACAGCTTTGAACACCGGAATACATTAAACCATTGTTTGAAAATGATAATAATATTTCACAATATTACAGTTTTTTCTGTATTTTTGATTTAAAAAAATGAAGCCTTGGTGAGAAGAAGACATTAAAAATAGTAATGTTTCCAAACTTTTGACCGATACTGTATATTCTTTTTTTGAAAACAGGATTCTTTGGTTAACTGAAGTTAAAAAACACAGCATTCATTTGAAATATTTTTTTTGTAACATTACAAAATGTCTTTACAGTCACTTTTGATCAATTTAATGTGTCTAGCTGAATAAAATTATTAATTTCTTTTAAAAAAAAACACGTTTTTGAATGGTGTCCCGCCACAACTTCCTGTTTTAATTGGAAATACGTCTACGAGAAAAGAAAAGTTCCCTCATTAAGTCATTTCATGGGAACTAAAATGCTGAAGAGAAATGTGGAGTCAATACAGTGATGTTGACATGCATAGTCTTGGTTTTCAATACTCAATGCAAGAGACACTGCGGAGACGTCAGGTGATTTCAGATGACACGTTAACTCCATTCGGGGCTCTGTGTGAATGGCAGACACAGCATGAACGAAACCAAATACCATCTTTCGACCTACCCCAGTGAAGCAGCCTTCACAGCCTGATGTATCATGGAAATTTGGGGCCTGTGACTTTTGGAATAGGAAACATTGGAATTTATAATTGAATATTTCTATTTTCAAAGCTTTTTGAGAAGGTGGGTGGTTTATGGGGCTGCTTCTGATGTCTTTCCGCACCTGAAAAGTTGAGATTATGTGAAGCAGATAATTATGTCCGCAGATGTAGCTGCCCTCCCTGGAATTCTTCCCGCTTCTCGGATTTCACCACCATGTCAATGAACCCCAGTGTGGACACACACACACACACACGGGTCCTTCCGTCCAACTGCCCGCACATCTAACCAAACTCACAAAACAAGCCACGAAACAATACATCTCAAGAAATATTGTCCTGCGATAAGCAGTACATACATCATTTCAGAATTATGAAATGAATGAAAGAATTATTCATTATTATTCAAGAATTATTGATTCTTCAAACTGTGGGTCTCTATAGAACAGCACTAAAAATATCACATTAAAGGGTTAATTCACCCAAAAATGCTAATTCTGTCCTCATTTACTCACCCTCAAGTTGTTCCAAACCTGTAAGAGTTTCTTGAACACAAAAGAAGATATTTTGAAGAATGTTGGTAACCAAACAGTTTATGGTTCCCACTGACTTCCATAGTATTTTCTTTTCTACACTATAGAAGTCAATGGGGTCCGTCAACTGTCTGGTTACCAACATTGACTATCGCTTTAAGCTAGTAAATCCATAAGAAAATCCATCAGGATTTTGAACGGGGTTTTTTAAACCTTTAGATAAAATATAAAAAAAATACTCTGTTGACTATTATATTTGACGCATCCGGATTTTATGGCTCATATAATGTATTATATTATATATCATACATTATATGAGCCAAACTGAGTTTGCTCATATTTATATGGCCAAAAAGTAAGATGAAATTATCATGTAAACCAATCAATCAGATCTGTATAACTGTACGGCAGACTACTTACACAAAATGCATAAATATCAGTTGTCACACAATATATCTCCCAATAACGTCTCAGTAAGATGATATTTAAATGCTTAGTTGATAAAAACTCGGGGACAAAACATATAACGCAATGCAAACAATGACAAAGACAAACGAATAAGTATTCCTTAATGTTTTATATTTTTAACATGATTTATCTATAAAATGATGTATGAATAATCAAGTGAACCTCATGTTGCTTGTCTAACAAGTGTTCATCTTGAAGTTATTCTTAAGTTTCCTTCATAAAAATCAGCAAAGATTTCACAGAACAAAAACACGTGAACCCCGAACCCCGGGGGACGTTTGTAGAGTTATATTAAAGCCCTTTTACTTAAAAAACTATCAATCAGACGACAAAAAACATCTGTACAACAGGCTTATCAGTTAAGCCGGCGACACACTTGAACGACTGGAAGGCCGATTATGAATGTAATTTGATATACTTATGACTGATCATGCTCAAACGCACGAGGCGCGTTCAGTCGGTGTTCACAGTCGTGTTTAAAATCTGCTCCAGTCATTGGAAAGGGTCTGTAATGTTCAGTCTTGGAATGTTTCGGCTAGTCGTTAAGTGTGTCTCATATTTATTACTCATTACTCAATAATTTTTATTATACTTGTCGTAGTTGTAGTTTTTTTATAATGCATACTATGCTTATTGTTACAGTCTATTGATTATCTAGGCTAGTTATTCTTGCAAAGTTACGCTCTAAACCCACAACGATCCAAATAATTAATTGGTTTGAGTTGGGTAAACTTAAATTAAACAAATGAGTCCAAACAAACTAACTTTTATGAGTACACTGTAAACCCTAATGCTCAAAATAATTAATTGGTTTGAGTAGGACAAACTTAAATTAAACAAATTAGTTCAGTCAAATTAACTTTTATGAGTATTTAGCACTTTCTTTTTCTTTCAAGTTCACAGAACTGATATATTTGAAGTAAACTGAACTGTTTCATTGTTTTGAGTTTTATGAAATTATTTCTTTTAATTTAGACGAACTTAAGTTTAACTGAAACAGCTGGGATGTCTATTTCCCAGCATGCTTTGCCGATGGCACTCGAAAGGGAGAGTAAATGCTAAAATTAAGTGTAATATAATGTTTTTTTGTGTGTAAGATTAATGTTATGTGTGAGATTTAGTAGTGATTCATGCTTTGTTATGCTAATTTAGAAGAATTTCTGTTAATGTTGGCTTTAGGATAGTTACCATCATGGTGACAAGTGGTGCATTCAGCTTGATTTGAGAGCAAATAATCCATATATATTGCTGTGCTCATACAGCAAGTGTCTCTGTATAACATACTATTGCTAATATGTTAGCATTTACTATGTTAGCAGATTAGCTTTTTAAAGCTAACTAAGTTTATACTAATAAAAGTATTTTGAGTTCTGCCAACTTATTTGGGTTTACAGTGTACTAGATTTAAGTTATATTAACTGAATGGAATTAGTTCTGTTAACTTTATTTACCCAAGTTATACCCAAGTATAAGTTACTTACACAAATCAAATATTTTTTTAAGCTTAAATTGTTTGAGTTAATAAACTTGAATGATTTAAGGCAATCGGTTTCCTCAAACGGTTTGAGTTGAACTAACTCATCAGGTTTTACAGTGATAGAACTTTCGTTTTCTTTTAAGTTCACAAAACTGACACATTTTAAGTAATCTGGATTGTTCGATTGATTTGATCTTTATGAATTTGTTTTGTCTTTTCATTTAGACAAACTTAAGTTTAACTGAAACTGGGCTGGGATTTTTATTTCCCAGCATGCTTTGCCATGACACTCGAAAGGGAGAGTGAATGCTAAAACTATGTGTTATATAGGCCGGGTTTTACAGACATAGCTATAGATTAAACCAGGATTAGGCGTTAGTTCAATTAGGACATTTGAGACAGTTTAAACATGCATTTAAGTCTGGGACTAGACTTATCCTTGTCTGTGAAACTGGGGGATAATGTTTTTTTTTGCAAGATTAATGTGAAGTGGGGGATTTAGTAGTGTTTAATGCTAAGCTATGCTAATTTAGAAGAGTTTATTATGTGGTTTTTTTGGGGGGGTTACCATCATGGTGACAAGTGGAGCATGAGCTTAGTTTGAGAACAGGTATTTTAAACATTCTATATTGCTGTATTCATTCAGCAATTACTATATGCAATGCTATCAAAACATTGTGTTACAAATTAGCGAGTTAGCATTTACTGAATTAGTTAAGTGTCTACCACTAAAATAAGTTAATATTACATGATCATTTTAAGTGAAAAGTATGAGTTAGATTACTTAAATATTTCAAGTTAAGAGCAATTAAAAATCTGCCAGTTCTGCTAACTTAAACTTTGAATTGAACTGCCTCATTTTTTTTGAGTTCAGGTTTACGGTGTACTTTTAGTTAATTGAATGTCTGAAGTGGACCATCAACATTAATTGCTACCGTATTTTCTTGTAATAC